CCATCTAGTCTACTCAGGGAAAAATCCTCCCTGATATGGCAGGGTTGATGTGAAACTGAATTACAAAGATAATATTTATAAGTACAGCATATGTTCCAGTGCTTGGCCCTTTGCACAATGTGGAGGTGGCTTCATGAATGCCTATTCTCTCATTCTGTGATGGCTGAAGAAGTGCCCTCTCCCCATGTGTAGGGAACAGGGGATGATACAAGCCCTCAAGACTGCTGCTTCCCCAGCTCAGTTCTATAGGCATTATAAACCTCTTCTTGTGCCACACCCAGAATTCCAGTATAATAGCTAGTGAACCAGACATTGAGAATGCCACCCTCCTGCTAGCCAGATACATTACCATGCCATAAACAACAACAAACTTGTGACTTGGCACTTACTCAGCTTGCTTGGCTGGTACTCTTTCATTTGAGATACACCTTCAGCTCAGGTTTTTGTTATTTGGAAGATGGACTTTTATGAATTATTCTGGCTGTCTTCAAATCTTGATCTTCTTGATCTTAACCCCTCAGATGGCTAGGATTATAGGTGTGAGCCACTGGTGCTCAGTTACCATGTCATGTTTTAATCTTCTAAAAGAATAAGCATCTACCAGGCATTGGTGGCTCACACCCGTAATGCTAGCCACTCAAGAGGCTGAGATCTGAGGATGGTGGTTCTGTGGTTCAAAGCCAGCCCAGACAGGAAAGTCTGTGAGACTCTTATCTCCAATTAAACACCAGAAAACTAGAAATGGCTCTGTGGCTCAAAGTGGTAGAGCACTAGCCTTGAGCAAAAGAGTTCAGGGACATGTTTAGGCCCTGATTTCAAACCCCACAACCAAAATAATAATAATAGTAAGTATCTGTACCAGTCTTTCTATAATATTGTTACTTCTCTGAGCAGTTTTCCTTCTCATCTAAATCACTTCCTCAAAAAAGCAGTTCCTCCTCCTCCTCCTCCTCCACCTCTTCCTCTTCCTCCTCCTCCTTTTCTTCCTCCTTCTCCTTCTCCTTCTTCACTGGTCTTTGAACTCAGAGCTTTATCCCTCTACCACTTGAACTACATCCCCAGTCCTTTTATTCTGCCAGTCCTGGGGCTTCAACTCAGGGCCTGAGCATTGTCCCTGAGCTTCTTTTGCTCAAGGCTAGCACTCTCCCACTTGAACCACAGTGCCACTTCCTGAGGAATTGAAACAAGGGCTTCATACATGGTAGGCAAGCACTCTACCACTAAGCCACATTCCCAGGCCCCCAGTCATTTTTTCTTTAGTTAATTTTTGGATTAGAGTTTCACATTTGCTATGCATGTACTTCCATCCTTCTGATCCTTGTCTCCCCACTAGCTGGAATTAAAGGCATAATCTCCATACTTAACCTTAAGTGTTTTTTTTTCCCTCTGGTACTAGGGATTGAACTCAGGGCTCTCCGCGTAGTAGGCAAACATTCTGCTACTGAGTCATGACCCCAGGATTATCTTCTTTGCCAGGGATAGCTTCTTGCCTACATCTTGCCACATCTGCTCAGTCTTTATCCTTCTTAGTTTTTATTGGTTATTATTTCCTCCAGCCTCAATCTCTTTACTTGAATCTCCCACTTCCTAGTTTTTGTTACAACCATCTTCTGATTGGCTGACTGGCTGGTTGCATCCTCAGTTTCCTTCACACCTAAACATATATCTCAATCGTCTTTCTGTAGACTTCCTTCTGTTTTTCTCCTTCAGGAGTTTTATCCTTTCTGTAACTCCATGGAGCATATCTAGGAGTCTGAAGTCTTTATCTCACTCCCAGCCTATCATTTACAGCTTTCTATTTAACATGTCCATTTCCTTGTAACTCCAACGCCCATCCTCCTCCACACCAGCTCTTCTGGCTTACCGTCTGTCAGCATGTAGGCCGCAGCCCTCACATATAACTGAATTCAACATGAAGCATCCTTGCTGTCAGTTCCATTATTTTCCTTCTTCATTGCCCTCAAACTAAACAGCACTATATTTTTCAAGTTCATGGCTTTTCTTCTGTAAATGTTTACAAAAAGATATACTAAATCAAAGTGATTTAGAA